GATCTGCTATCTCATTTGGTTCTGGCATAAGAAAATTGGACTAGGAAGTTTTGAACCACTTAGAAATTCTATGTTAAGAAGTTAATTTACATTTTAATTTGGCTAAAATCTCATTGAAGTGTTTGATTAAAGAGGTGATTCCAGAATAATCTGTGTAAATGACATATTTGACCAAAGATACTACATAGGAATGCTATAAATTTGACACTTATGTGAATCTTTACTATAATCAACTTTTACTTTAGAGGAAAAAATTAGTTGTTGCATGACTGTGCATTTGTCATGACTTGTATTAAGTTGGCTAGTCTAAATCATGTGCCATATTAATTCGGCTAGTGTAATGGATCATTGATACTATGCGATGCATTATTTTCTCTTGGTCTCTATTTGAGGTGGAAATCAGTGATCACATACGTATGTGACTTTCCAAATCAGTAATGACTAATGTATGTGACTTTCCATGTCAGTGACTTGTCATATAACAACCTAACAGGACCCTTGCCAGATGTTCTGGGAAATTTGCCATCACTTCAAGTCCTGTAAGAATTGCTACTCTTTCTCATCAGATTTGCAATGACAAGGAAAATTGACCCTCTAACTTTTGGTTTCCTTCTACAGGAATTTGGCAGGCAACAATCTTTCTGGGCCAATTCCTGCTTCTCTACTAAAACGATCACAGCAAGGGTTGCTGATACTTAGGTCTGTTTCTTTTGTTATCCTACTTATGAAGTTATAGAGGCATCTGTCATAGAGTTCTTTTTTTTTTTTGGAGCAAAAAATGAGGTTTAATATAGAGTTTAAGGGTGGTGATGGTAATAACTGAATTTTTGTTCTTTTTGCTTTGGGTTTCACCTTGTTCTCTTTTTCCAATGCCACTGCACCTAAAACATGTCCTTCGGTCTAAAACTGCAATCTCTAGTAATAATGCAACAGTTTATTTCATTTAAACTTTAACTTTTTTGAAGAAGAAACATAGACTAATTACTAACCAATACTAACATCAAGTTAATAATTCTACTGTAGAACTGAAGGCAATCAAAATTTATGCGCCAGTGGAAATTCATGTGAGATAAAGACGGACACAGAATCAAAAAAGAAGAAGATTGCAACACCTATTATCGTGATTATTTGTCTAGTTCCTGTGGTGCTATTTCTTGTGGCTATATTTATCTTCTGTCGTATGAGAAAATCAAAAGGTAAGTGCTTGCTGCAGCAAATTATAACTGTCCATTCATGTCTTTGATGCATACTAGCTTAGATATTTGCAAGT